TAGATAACCACAAGGTTACTAGGTAAATTCCAAGTTACACCAAATTGTTTTTCTTGTTTTCAAATATAGATAGGGTCCCCCGAAAATATATACAGAGTCAGAATGATTATAAAGTCAGTTTTCAACATACAGTTCATTTTTTAAATGTAATAGAATCTACAGAAATGAATCTTTTTTTTTTTTGGTCAATGCCTATTTGCAAACTGATGAACAGCATTGCTGATAATGTGAAGCAATGGAATCGTAAACATCAAGAATCATTTCATTCAGTATTTGTGCACCTTCAATTTCTGTTGCTGGTTTTTTACTGTAAACTTAAAAAAAAAAAAAAGTCTAGTGGATAAATTTTATTTACTCAAAGCTTAACCTGGTTTCACCCCTTATTTCAAATCACTTAAAACTGAAAAGGAGTGAAAATTGAGTTGTCAGCTGTTAAATGTCCCCCCCAAAATGTATACATACTTTGAATAATTATAAAGGTAGTATTTGTACTTCAATTGCATTTTCCAACTTCTAGTAAAACTTCCAGTAGCATTTTAGGATGCATTTACTTTATTCCAAGCTTAGTCTGGTTGAAAAAAAACATCAACTGAGCTATCAGCTATTAAAGTGTGGTTCCGTTTTTGGGATACCATGTATTTGTTGTTATTGAAATCTAGTTCTCCACTGTTTTTTGTTTTTTTAAAGAGAAAATGAAAGGGAAGGAGGGATGTGGGATGGGGAGGGGGAGAGGGAAAGGGAGGAGGAAAGAGAGGGAGGAGAGACGGGGAAGGGGGGAAGGAGAGAGAAAGGGACAGGGAGAGGGAGACGAAAAGAGGGAGAAGGGTGGGGGGGAGAGAGAGAGAGAGAGAGACATCCATGTGAGATGTTGATCGGTTTGGTTGCCCAGTGCATGTGCCCTAACTGGTGCCAGGGATGGAGCCCACGACCCTTTGGTGCATGGGTCAATGGCTCTAACCACTTAGGCATACGGCCAGGGCAACAAGCAAGGCATTTTTCTGTGAATAACTTAGTTGAGAACTGAATTGTTCAAGATGGAAGACATTTGAAAACCAAATTTTGACCATATATAGTTACTCTCCACTGTGCGCTCACAATCTGTGATTTTCACAGGAGTTTGTTACAAAGACTTTTCCATATTCCTTATATTCATAGGGTTTTTGTACAGTATGAGTTTATTCCCATCTGGTGAGAAATTGTGTGCTGTGTAGGTCTTATCATATTGTTTACATTCATAGGCTTTCTCTCCAGTTTGAAATCTTTCATGTCTTTGATATAAACAAGGCGAGTGAATGCTTTCCCACATTCCTTACATTGGTAAGGTGTTATCGTAAGTATGCAGTTTTGTGTGTCTTTGAAGGGATTTGTGAGAAACGTAGGCTTTACCACAATGTTTACACACATAAGGTTTCTCTCCTGAGTGCGTTCTTTCATGTGCTTGTACGGAACGGTAAGATTTGAAGGCCTTTCCACACTCCTTACATCCATAGTGTTTCTCTGCAGTGTGAGTTCTTTCATGTATTCGAAGGTTACTCAGATACTTGAGTGCTTTACCACATTTTGTACACACATAGCGCTTCTCTCCAGTGTGAGATATTTCATGTATTTGTAAGGAACTGTAATAGCTGAAGGTTTTTCCACATTCCTTACAGTCATAGCGTTTGCATCCAGGGTGAGAAATTTGGTGTGTTTGTAAATAACTGAAAGATTTGAAGACTTTTCCACATTCTTTGCATTCATAAGGTTCCTCTCCTGTGTGAATATTTTCGTGTGACTTTAAGTAACGGGGCGATCTGAAGGCTTTTCCACAATTCTTGCACTCATAGGGTTTCTCAGCACTGTGAGTTTTTTCATGTTTTCGAAGATAACTGATATCGCTGAATGCTTTACTGCACTGTTTACACTCATAGGGTTTCTCTCCAGTGTGAGACCTTTGGTGTGTTTGCAAGGACCTAGAATATCTGAATGCCTTTCCACATTCCTTACACACATAGGGCTTCTCCCCTGTGTGAGTCCATTTGTGTGGTAGTAAAGAACTGCAAGATCTGAAAGCCTTTCCACATTCTTTACATTCATAGGGCTTGTCTGCAGTGTGCGTTCTTATATGTATTTGAAGATTACTAAAATACGTGAATGCTTTATTACATATTTGACATACATGTAGTTTTTCTTTAGTATGACTTCTTTCATGGCTTTGAAAACTCTGATAATTTCTGAGGGCTTTTCCACTGTGTCTACGCTGATAAAGCTTCTCTCCAGGGTGCCTTCTGTCACAAATTTGAAATGAAGTTGAAGAACTCAAGATTTTCTCACATTCCTTACTTTCAGAGGTTTCTTCTCCATTGTGAGTTCCTTTATGATTTTCAAGACACTGAAGATAACTGAAGGCTTTCCCACATATGTTACATTTATATGGCTTCTCTTTACACTTCTGATAATCAGAGGGCTTTTGTCCAGCATGACGTCTGACGTGACTATTATGGGATGGATGATACATAAAGACGTTCCCACATGCACTGTATAAGCATGGTTTCACTCCAGAAACAGTTTTCTTGATGAGACTGAGGTTTAGACTAAGGCTGAAGTTTTCTCCATATAGACTACCATTTCCCCCTTCACCGAGTCTTTCTAACACAAGACTTCTGTTAAAAAAAAAAAAAAAAAGCAAATTATTAATGATTTTTAATTATTGAATTTAATGTTAGTGGAATATTTGAACATTTTTGTGATTTATAGCAAAAGCATAGATTTTCTGCCTTGTGTACACGGTTTGAAATTTACTACACTGAAAGCTCTGGGGACAGCTTCACCCTTGCTATTATCAATTCAGTGATACTCAGAGGCAGGTTTAAGATGACATTCTAGCTCGCTGCTGAACTCACCCCCTCCCAACACACGGAATGTACACCGATATTCAGAGCAGCGATTCCTCCTGAGAGACAACTGTGAGCCAGCTGAATACTTCTGCACAAGCAGAGAGAAAGACCACAGAGAGGAGTTGGGAACCACGAGAGCTCTCCGGGAGCCAAGGGCACAATCCGGAACCAAAGCAACTGGTGAGCATCACTAGCTGTGCTTCCTCAGCATGTGGCTAGTGGGTGAGAGCGCCATCCAGGTTTTCTGGCCAGCCTGCAGGGCGTGGCAGCATGTCCTCAGCTACCCTTCAGAGAGCTAATCCAGCGGAAACAGGAGGGCACCACAGCTTACATACAAGGGGATCCTTCCATGGGGAAAGTTGATTCAGCAAGTATAGGTGCTGCTTTGTACCCCCATTTACTGCATGTACAAGCAGGGCTACCCCATCTAGAGAGAGGACAGAGCTAATACTTTTTCTGCTGGTAGTTGTTTTTTTTTTTTTAAATATATTTTATTGCTATTTTACAGAGAGGAGGACTGGAGAGAGATAGAGAGCTAGAAACGTCAATGAGAGAGAAACATCGACCAGCTGCCTCTTGCACACCCCCTATCGGGGATGTGCCCGCAACCAATGTACCTGCCCTTGACCGGAATCAAACCTGGAACCCTTCAATCCACAGACCAACGCTCTACCACTGAGCCACACCGGTTTCGGCTGCTGGTAGTTCTTGCCAACAGGACTACCAGCAGAAAAAGTGCAAAGATAGTAGCACACTACTGTGTGCTCACACAGGATTGCCCCTCCTGCAGAAAAGTGTAGAGCTAGCAAAATGCTGCACTGCCCACATGCAGGACTGCCCCTCCAGAGAAAGTGCAAAGATAGTAGGGTACAGCTGTGCATGCACATGGGACTGCCCTGAGAGAAGTGCAGAGCTAGTAAAACCTTGCAGTATCCACATGAGGGTTGCCAGAGAGTGGCACGTGCTGTGCACATGCAGGGATATCCCACCAAGACTGTGTACAGAATTCACAACAAGTGACTGTGTGCAAAGGCTGCTCCACCCAGAGGTAGCAGGACTTGAGATGCAGGCCTGCATAGTGGGCCTGCCCAAACCCTGCTCTGACAGAGGACAAGTAGAACAACAGGGCACACACGTATGGCTAGCCATGTAGAGTGAGGGGAACACAGCTGAGTGCACAGGGAGTTGTAATGTCCAGGGAGGGAGCAAAACTAGCAAAGTGGAGCTGTGTGCACACAGCAGGCCTACTCAACCTGGAGAGGGGGGAAGATGGTGGGAGACAATCATATGAAGCAGGCCCACCACACCCTGCTGATACCGGACAGTAAAGCAAAAGATTAAGCTAAGAGCACAAAAAGATGCCCCACCAGGATTAGAAGGGAAAGGCAGAATGCACACACAAGGCTGTCCCACCTAGAACCCTATGGGGGTACATACACACACACACACACACACACACACACACACACACACAAAATAGAATAGAATAGAATAGGATAGGATAGGATAGGATAGGATAGGATAGGATAGGATAGGATAGGATAGAACAGAACAGAACAGAACAGAACAGAACAGAACAGAACAGAACTGAACTTGGCTATTTGAAAAATGAATCTTGCCATTTTCAAAAACCTAAAGGGTATTATGCTGAGTGAAACAAGTCAGACAAACATCGTATGGTTTCACTTAGATGTGAATCTATAAAAACAAAACAAGAAAAACAGACTCATAGAAACAGAGATCAAAGGAATGATTAACAGAGGGGAGGGTATAGGAGGAATGAGTGAAAAAGGTAAAGTCAGGAATAGGATGATAAATTTAATAGTGAAAGATAATTACTAGAATTAGTGGGGAGATTGCGTTATAAGGTATAAAAATGTTAAATTATTATATTGTCACCTGAAACTAATACAAATATAATATGTATACTAACTATAGTTAAACTTAAAATATAGCAAAACAGTGATATTCATGTATAGTATTTATTAGTGCTGTTTCCATATAAACTAGTTTGCAAACACTGAATATTTGTCATATGTAGCAAGAGTTGCTTTGGTTGCTTCTTTTGAAAATTTTATAGCTTAACAGGTTTCTCATGTGAGATAGTGCTTTTTGTTGTGTGACTCACTTTTGTTCTCTTCCCTGGTTTTCTTCAATGTCATGATCTTCCCATTTTTTACCTAAAGAAGCAGACCCAGAAAATTGGTTTCAATGTATTAGAAATTGTACAAAAGTTATTAGATTCTATTTCTATGTTGAATTGTGACCATGCTCAATTTATTTACCAATGTCCTCCCTTTTCACATTAACATCTTAGGACAATGTTGATGGTAAGAAACACTTGTTCTCTAATTGACAAAGTGAAGGAAAGTCACCATCCTTACCTAAGAAGGCCAAGTTCCCAAAGGTTTCCCTCATCACATCTCTGTAGAGTTTCTTCTGTGAAGGATCCAGTAAGGCCCACTCCTCCTGCGTGAAGTTCACAGCCACATCTTCAAAGGCCACCGAGTCCTAAAACATCCCCAATATGTGTCCATTAGGATGAGTGAGACTGAAGCACTGAACACTCAAACTCCATTTATAGTCTGAGTCTCCCATTTCCAAACACTTCATCTATGACTATCATTAAAAACTTACTCTCTATCCCCACACTCACTTCCTTATAAATTTAACACCATCATAAACACATGGAAATTATCAACATATTTTTACTGTAACCACATTACATATTTTTTAAATGGCAGGGTTCAGATACTTTGGAGGAACGACAAAAATGCTATACAAATTAAACAAATATAATTTTCAGACCATCAATATCTTGTTAAAAAATTCATCTTTTTTTATTCACCTTTTATGGGACTCCAAAAAACAAGGTCACATCTGCATGATGTTCCAGTAGAAAGAACTGGAAATTTTTTCTTCTACTCCCATTACCAAAACCAAAGAGTCCAACAGGCTTGTGGAATGCCAATTTTTAACAAAGCCTCGATGGTCAGACACACTGCCGTAAAGTCCTCCAGGCCATTAGGAGAACAGACACAGCTCACTTTAACTTCGCTTTCTTGTGCGTGGTAGTTATTGTGTTTCCATCACTTCGAGACAAGACCCTCCACCAGCAATAAGATGATGACTCACTGAAGGTATAGATGATGGTTAGCGTTTTTAGAAATAAGGTATTTTTAAATTTATGTACACTGATCCTTTCAACAAGCTATTACACACTTAACAGGTAAACAGAACTTCGTTTTACACCAGGAAGCCAAAAGTCATATGACTTGCTTTATTGAGACACTGATTTTACTTGATGGCCTAGAACTGAGCCCACAACATTTGTGAAGTATGTGTATAATCAGAGGCAGCTGGATAAATGGAAACATTCTTATGGAGAAGCACTGCTTTATCTTGTGTAATATTTATCACAGACGAAATTCTTCCTTTCTCTATCTACAAAGTTATTTGGAATTCCCAGCTTAGATTCGACGAAGACATGACAACTCACACCACAAAATCCATATACAATAAAACCTCAATACTACAGATCAATTTGGGCAAGAGGGTGTCCATTAAAGCTGAAAGACTGTCATATAATAAAGTCAGTTTTCCAAATTCATGTTAAAAAATTTACAAATTTACCTGTTTTTACTTATGTAGACATGTTTAATTAAAATTTAGTATGTATGAAAAGTTTAATTTCACAGAAAAGTTATCTATATGTAGTACAGTAATTTTAAATTTATACTGAATAGGACAAGTATGTGCATTAACCAGTCACCACAAGTAAACAAATGCACATGGCTGGGGCATGGCTAAGCACACATTGGAACACTGGCTTACACACATGAGACAACAGAACCAATTACCTCAGGAGATGTGGTGTGATCATGTGCTAATCATTCACCAAACATTGTTTCTGACTGATGACCCTTGGATTTAAATATGTAGACTATAGTTGTAAGTATATAATATTTATTTATGTTGGCAAAATTATTAGTGTTTTTTCCAACATGTGGTCTTTTTGCTAAAATTTTTTTTAAATACCAGTGAATTAGTCTGCCCAGCATAGCTCAATGGTTGAGCACTGACGTATGAACTAGGAGGTCACAGTTCGATTCCCAGTGTGGGGTGTGCAGGAAGCAGCCGATCAATAATTCTCTTTCATCATTTATATTTCTGTCTCTCTCCTCCCATCCTCTCTGAAATCAATAAAAATAATTTTTTTTAAAAAACAGTGAATTAATTTTTTAAAAAACATTTTAATTATAAGCAAATCTTGGTTAAAATAATTTAAAAATTAATAGGATGTTAATTTTCACATATGAAATATGACCAGAAATTTTGCCCATTAAATCTCAAATAATCTAACCTTATGCCTAACACAACTAAACAAAGCCCATATTAGAAAGATGGCAGCAGAAGGTGGATCTTTCTTTAACCTCCCAGAACCAAACTGGAAAAAAAATTAAATTGAGGAGTACTCACCCTGAATTACCGACTGAAGACTAGCTGAAGAGGAGACTTTTATAAAATATATATATTTTATTGATTTTTTTACAGAGAGGAAGGGAGAGGGATAGAGTTAGAAACATCAATCAGCTGCCTCCTGTACACTCCCCACCTGGCATGTGCCTGCAACCAAGGTACATGCCCTTGACTGGAATCGAGCCTGGGACTCCTGAGACCGAAGGCTGACACTCTAGCCACTGAGTCAAACCTGTTAAGGCTGCAGAGGAGACTTTTAACAAGGAAAGGCAGAAACCTACAGACGGGTAAGAGTGAGGTTGGGAGAGATTTTGAACCAGCTCTCATGAATGGCAGGCCAAGGGTGGAGGGATATCTTGGCTATATGGTGAGGAGAGTGAGAGGTGAGGCCTGGACCCTAGCCAGAGCAGCAGAACAAAGAACAGCAGGCCTCCTAACATCCAGCTGTGAATGGTGACAATGCTTCTATCAGCCTGGGTGAGACATGGATGGTGGGGGCACACATGTGGGAGGCAACCAATCAATGTGTCTCTCTCACCTTGATGTTTCTTTCTCTCTTCCCCCTTCTATTTTCACTCTAAAAATCAATGGAAAAAATATCCTCATTCTTAGAGTGAGAAATAAATAAGTAAATAGACAAAGGTTAAAGATAAAGAATGTTAAAAACAGCAAGAGAGCCCTAGCTGGTTTGGCTAAGTGGGTAGAGCATCAGCTTGTGGACTGAAGGGTCCCAGGTTCAATTCTATACAGAATACTATTTTAAGATTTAATGCTTTAAACATTAATGGATATAAAACTGAAAGCCATAAAATATTTTCAAATCTCTTTCCTTTTTTTTTTCCTTCTTATTGAATTTATTGGTGACACTGGTTAACAAAATTATACAGGTTGCCGAAACAGGTTTGGCTCAGTGGATAGAGCATCGGTCTGCTGACTGAGGAGTATCGGGTTCGATTCCGATTAAGGGCATGTACCTTGGTTGCTGGTACATCCCCGGTAGGGGGTGTGCAAAAGACAGCTAATCGATAACTCTCTCTCATCGATGTTTCTAGTCCTGTATCCCTCTCTCTTCCTCTCTGTAAAAAATCAATAAAATATATATATTTTTTTAATTATACAGGCTTCCACTGCTGGTGGGAATGCAAACTGGTGCAACCACTGTGGAGAACAGCATGGAGTTTCCTCAAAAAACTGAAATTGGAACTCCCATTTGACCCAGTAATCCCACTCCTAGGATTATATCCCAAGAAACTAGAAACACCAATCAAAAAGGATATATGCACCCCTATGTTCATAGCAGCACAATCTACAATAGCTAGGATTTGGAAACAGCCTAGGTGCCCGTCAGCAGATGATTGGATCAAAAACTATGGTACATCTACACAATGGAATACTATGCTGCCATAACAAAGAAGGAATTCTCATCATTTGCAGCAACCTGGATGGAATTGGAGAACATCATGCTGAGTGAAATAAGCCAGTCAATGAAAGAGAAACACCACATGACCTCACTCATTTATGGATAACAAAGAACATTATAAGCTGATGAACCAAAAGATATAGAGACAGTAAAGCAACAAGCAGACTGTCAAATTACAGTGGGGAGGGGAGGGAGATCTGGGGGAGATAAGAGATCAACCGAAGGACTTGTATACATGCATATAAGTAAACCAATGGACACAAAACTCTGGGGAGGGAGGGTACGTAAGGGAGGGGCAATGTTAAAATATGTACACAGATAATAATTTAATTAAAAAAAAAAGGGGGGGGGGAATTATACAGGTTCCAGTTGTGCAATTCCATAACACTTCATCTATACACTATATTTTGTGCTCAGCATCAAATCCCTTTCTGATAAAAAGAATAAGATGTGTTATGATCAGTCTGTCCCTCACTATATTGAACACAGGGGATATTTTCAGGAATCAGAATGTATTATATAATGCCTAAGGGATTTGGAATTAAGTCCTGAAATAAACTAGAAAATTTAGACTTCCATAAGTCTTGTGTTTTCCTCATATCAATGAATACAAAAATGCAATTTTTTCCCCCCAATGTCCACTGGAATAGGTAATCATCTGCCTTAGGAATGATATTGCCTTTCCAATTGTAAAAGTTCTCACGAGACATGGACATACAAACACTGACCAAAAAGCAGAAAAAAGGAAACCCTGAGAATTCTAAAACATCCATCTCACATCTTAACTTTTTCTTGCTAAAGGGAATCAAAATTCTATTTGGTTCCACAATTATCTATCCTTATGCACAAGGCATTTCTCATTCAAATTACATATTAAAAACCCAAATGCTACTGGACACTAGAGTTAAAGGGTTGCAATATTCACTGTTGAAAGAAATCCAAAGGAATGAAACACAAATATTGCAATCAAGACAGATAAACAGCCTGCTTTCCTACAGTTCAGAAGGAAATGCACCTTCAGAAAGTTGAACATAATCCCAAGCATGGGGGCCACACACTCCTGGATTGAGATAGAACCTCCAGTGGGTCAGTCCCTGGGGAGGTGTGAAGGGACACCTGAGCAGCCCCCAGAATGAGCACTACAGCCCCGCCCCCTCTGCTGCAAGCGTGGTGCTCCCTCCCCAGGCTTCCATTCTCACAGTGAAGCAACTCTCAGCTTAAGTTTAAGGTTCTGGCCCAAACGAACTCCCCAATCACAAACCCTTTGTCTCCAAGACAGAAACTCTGATCTTTACTGCCTCTCTCCATGTGCACAAATCACACTGCGGATGCAAAACTCAACATAAGATCTTAAAATGTCTAGGCCTAAGGAACCACACCACAGGCTCAAAAAGGGCATCTCCAGCTGAATTCCCCTCCTCCCCCCCACCCCCAGCTTTCCCGGACTCTGTAGCTTTTCTCATGCAAAATATCCACAAATATAAATCTTTTAAAAAGAGAATTCCATCAGTTGCTTCCAGCATGTGCAAACAATGAGTGCACGAATGGGTGGAGCAGCAAAATCCATTTCTCTCTTTCTCTCTCTCTCTCTCTCCCTCCCTCCCTCCCTCCCTCCCTCCCTTTCTCTCTTTCTTTCTCTCTCTTCCTCCTTCCCTCCCTCTCCCCTTCTCCTATCTCTAATTCAATCCATTTTTTAATTTAAAAAAGAGCATTCCATTACTCTGTAAAAAGAGATAAACAATTAAAATAGTCTTTGAAATGTACCCCAGAGGACAAGTAGTTGATAATGATGCTGTGACTCAAACAGGGATAGTTGTTGGCCTTGGAAATGCCTAGGAAGAACTGGAAATTTAGGGGCTTATTCCCAGCCCCAGGGGGAGATAGGCTCGGGGACAAGGTTTTGGATTTGAGACTCTGTTTCACTAAAATGAGAACTCGGGAGAAAAGGGGCATTCCTTGAGGAAAAAGAGATCAGGGTCCCCACAAATCTCTCAAGCACAAACCCGAGACTGAGTCACGACTGTCCTCGGATGACCCTCCCTGTATCACCACAACATCTGGGGAGAGCTGAGGCTGGACTCGGAGCCTCCCGGACAGAGAGGGAAATAGTACGTTCAATCCGGCTGCCGGCCCAGCCCCCACTCTGAATTCTGCAGGGACCGAGGTCCCCAGAAGCCCCAGGGGACTCCAGCTGCAGATCCTGGACCTGACCGCCAGGAGGCCCGACTCTGCCAGAGCCAGTGCCAGCCAGCCCCTCGTCCTGACTGCACACCGGCCCCGGCCCCGCACTCACCATTTCCACGTTTCCCGAGTCCTGCCTACGAGTCCCGTGTCCAGCGCAGACCACGGCACCGCACAGACCATGAATGTGGACAAGCGGTCAAGCCAGCCAGGAGCGTGGGTGGAAGGGCCTCACCTAGGCGGGGCGTCGGCCCAGACGTTTCTGCGGAGCTTCTGATTGAACAGAAATCCACGCCTAACCCCTCCCCCCTGCCTGATTGACATCAGGAGGGATGAGGCGGGATTTATTCAGCCAAACCAGCCTCCACCCGCGAGGCTCCAGTCTCTTCTTGGCACGTTTGCCTATGGAGCTGATTCTGTATGTTCGCCCAGCTCTTTGTGAACACAGGAGCACAGGCGTGCACAGAGGATTCCTGCTTCCGTTTCCAAGTGAGATACAGAACATGAGGGCAGCCAGGCCAGGCCACACTGGAACAACAGTGTCCTATGTCCAGGGTCAGGGGCTTGGTGCGAGCTGTCAGGACACTGAGACCCCCTTTAGAAACATGAACCTCACTATCTGTGATAGAGTCTGGTCTGTTTCAATCTTTGCTGCTTCCCAACCCTGAGCTTCCCACCAATCCCTGCCCCTCCCACAGTCATTCTGTCCTAAGAGGAAGAATCCCAGAGCATTAGGCACTGGTGGGGAGTTGGAACCCTGGAGTCCCAGCCTGGGTGCCCTACCCACAGGGTGTGAGACGTGTTCGTTACATTCTCAGAGGCCTCAATACACTACCATTAGGTTAGGAGCCTCCCTATGACCATTAGTTATTTTATAGTTTAAGGACACTGAAGTAATTTGAGATAATGACTTGATTGTGTCACAAGGGTGCCCTGGGTGTTGTCCCCTTAATCCCAAAGTTCAGGATCTTCATTGGGGGCGGGGGAAGGAGGGCAGCAATAGGGGCACTTAAGGGTCCTGGAGAGCCCTCTGGTATCAGTGATGTGGACACAGCCAGCCCCCTACTGGCTTCCTTTGCCCCCTCTTCTTTCTCTGTTGAATAACTGTTCTCTCACAAGTGACAACTAGATCGGGCCATCTGCACCGGTGTGCTTACCCTCTTTTACCCCTATTGCCGGGGTATATAGGTGCCAACCTAGCCTCTGTCACAGCTTCACTCTGACACAGATAAATCAAGCAGAGACACTGAGTCAGGGCACTGTAAGGAGGGCCCCAATCCCATACTCCTGCTCCCAAATGCCTAGAAATTCTCAAAACTGCACCTTCTGGTTGGGAGCTCACCAAACTGAGGCTTGGTAGTCTCAGCAATGCCACACAGGGCACCACAGCTCAGAGCACAGCCACTGAGCAAGTCACAGCAAGAGGAGACAGACCAAAGTGGTGGTCATGTGGGGTCATGCTGCTCACAACTGTTATGTGTTAGGTTGAGGCAGGGGGGAAGCCCAGAGCTGATGCAAGCATCTGCAAGGTGGATGGTGACAAAGACAGCTGGCTAGCTGGCGCCCTCCTACACCCCCGGCCCAAGGCAGAGGCAGGAATTCCACACCTCCCATGCCCCCACCCTCTCCTCCCTAAACAGCTGTGTAAAAGAAGTACCTATGCCGCTTTCTGGCTCGAACTTCCCTGGCCCACCCTCAGACCAGCGAGCTTCGCCCGGGAGCGCAGATTAAAACCTTCCCCCTTTTAATCATCTGGATTCCGTGTCGCAAACTTCTGCATCGCAAACCTCTCAGCTGGGACCTTACATTATGATCACCTGCAGAGATGTGGTTCCCATGTTGAGATTAATGCTGGTGTGCATCCCTCGGGCTGCACATACATACACACCTGGAGAGCTGCCTCACATAATACAGGTCTTTGAGAGGAAGCTGTGAAAAAGCTTCAGAGAGCAAGGAAAAGAGCCTAGCCTGGGATTTTATTGTGGCTGGAAATGTTAAAGAAAAAAAGATTCAATGGCACTTCTCAATGATGGTCAGGCACATTGTATTCAAAACCTTCCAATAGGTACAGAGACAGTGTGGTGGGATTTCTTAGTGGGTGAGAAATAAGATTGGGCTCAATTCTGAGAACAGCATAGGCAAGTGGGAATTCATGGCCTGACAGCAGGCAGGCAGATCAGTGGATGGAAAGTTACAAGAATCTGATGTGAGAGGATTCCTGCTAAACTGACCAAACAGGATTCCTATTACAGACAGGCCAGGGGGCTCAGACATCACCTGATGATGGAGGAGGAACTTGATCAGACATGAAACGTGGTCAGACAGGAGGGTGGGGGATTCTGGATCACCTGACTTAGCGGGGTTCCTATTAAACTGGATTTTACAAGAAGTGCAAAGATAGGCCTAGGAGAAAGTTCAGGAGCCTGACTAAAGTTGCTCAAGCAAAGAATCTGTCAGGGTCTGGGCCCGGGCAAGAATTTTACACACAAACAGGGGCTTGTGTGGTTGCAATCTGAAGCCAGTGCCAGAGGAGGGAGCCGTGGACTTTCTAATCAGCCTGCCCAGGGGTGGGCAACAAGAGGGAGGGGGAGGCCTAACCTCTCAGCAAATAGCAAACAATGTGGTCTGATTGCTCATTACAAGGACAAACATGGGTAAGAAAAATATGCATTTGCAATGACTTGTTTATATATAAGAAACACTAACAGAAAGTTCAAGAAACGATCAGAACTGTGTATTTGAGGGTGGCTGCAGAGACACTGCTACAGGACCAGGATATGTGAGCTGCGTGTCTTCTTAAGTCAGATTTTTCTATCCTAAAAATTTAAGAAAACTCGGAAATTTATGTACACCATGTTTTACCATCTAGTAGTCCTTCTTTAACTTAACTTTTGTACGTAGGAAAGTACTATCAGGATTTGATCCCTTTAAACATAAACAATTATAAAAGTATATACCATACAAAATAAAAAATTCCAAAATTGCCAAAATAGTAGGACAAGTTGCATCCTAGTTTGTCCCTTCTCTATATCTCACACAGGTGTTATTTTAGGAATAAGTAGCGCATTATAATGCATTAGGAATTTCAGTTATATTCCAAAGGGTAGTAGGAATTTTAAAGATTTATATAAGCTTTGATTACTTTTCATACATCAACTGAAATAATGACTTGGTTGTGCCACATCAATTACTTTAGCCTTTTAAATTTCAATTAGAGGCCCGATGCATGAATCCATGTAAGAATAGGCCTTCCTTCCCCGGCTGCCAGCACCAGCTTCCCTCTGGCACCAGGCCAGCTTCGTCCCGAATGTCATCCGAGTCTAATTAGCATATTATGCTCTTATTATTATAGATATTCTTTAGGGACATGAATACCCACAAGAAAACATGAATGTAAAAATGAAAAATGAATCTGTGAAGTTAAATACATTTCGCTCATATCAACAGGTTCTCTTGCTTAAAGGGAACAAAAATTCTATTTCCACTATTTACTTGCCTTACCAATATCATATTTCTCAATCAACTTACATATTTAATCCCAAGAAACCAAAAATCATATTTACCATATAGAGAATAAATTTGCCAAGTGCTTATGGAAACTAGAGTCAAAGACACTATTCAGTCAACAAAGAACCAAAAGAAACAAGTATTGGAATCAGCTCAGATGAGCAGCCTGCTTCCCACAGGACAGAAGGAGAGCCACTTTCAGAAGGTTTACATCCTGGACTCTCCAGGTTGAGACAGAAAGAACCCCTGGGGTGGCTCTGTCTCTGGGAAAGGTGAAGAGGGACATCTGAGCAGCCCTAGGAGTGAAGTCTGGGAGCTCTCACTCCCTCCTCTCCCCGGGGAATAACGGAAACGCTCCCTCTCAGGCTTCAGCTCAGCTGGATTTAGTTGAAGGTTCTAACCCAAATGAACTTCCAAACTCACAATCCCTAACCCAGGACACAGAACTCTTGACTTTTTTCAGACTTCCTAACGTGCACAAAAAGATGCTCTGAGTGCACCCACACTGTGGATGCAAACTCCAACCTACGCCTAGAAACAGGCGCAGGAGAAGCATAACTCGCCCAGGTGCACCTGCTTTCAGGGCTGTAGCTTCTCAGTGTAAAGGCTCCTTCCCTGATGAGTGTGAGCAGGTGGGACACCTGCAGGGAAGACTCGCCAGAAAAAACAAACTGGGCCTTCAAGTACTCCCCTTGGCAGGCTCAAGACAACCTTAGTTTGGGTCACTAACCACAGGCTGCCCCATGGAGTACTCTGGACTACCCTATATGTTAAATTACACGCCAGTTGGAACAATCTGGCAAAAACACTAAAACCCAGTCTTTGAGAAGAAAAGGGATGACAACTGTAAGGCTAATGATGGAAGGAGACTTGACTCGGGGTGGCAAACACACAATACAACAAACAGATAATGTACTGTAGAACTATGTATCTAAAATCTGTATAATTTTATTAACTAATATCACCTCAATAAATTCTATTAAAAACAAGAAAATTGTAAGGCACTTTGCTGACTGAACAAGAAACCTCTTAAGTATGTATTGCATTCCAAAAAAAAAAAAAAAATGTTCCTTGCCTAGGAAATATTCTGGGAGTTCCAGCAAAAGGATTTTATACAATGTAGTCCCGGTACATTTCTCTCATGTAAAATATCCACAAACAAAAAATAAACTCCATTAAAATAGCCATCCATTGGACAAATGAAAGTTACAATATGGATCCACAGAGAACAGAATGCAGAATCTCAGAGGGAAGATGGAGAAGGTGGGGAGGGTGGGAAGTGATCAACCAAAGAACCTGTATGTATATATGCATAATCCATGACCACAGACAATAGGAGCCAGGGCAGGCTGGAGGGAAATAATGGGGAAAGAGGTGGACATATATAATACTTTCAACAATAAAGATTTATTAAAAAATAAAAAATAGTCCTAACCAGTTTAGCTCAGTGGATAGAGCATCATCAGCCTACGGAATGAAGGGTCCCAGGTTCGATTCCGGTCAAGGGCATGTACCTTGGTTGCGGGCACATCCCCAGTAGGGGGTATGCAGGAGGCAGCTGATCAATGTTTCTAACTCTCTCTCTCTCTCCCTTCCTCTCTGTAAAAA